TATGTATTCTGTATTTGACAAACAGTTCATTCGACAAATGAAAACTCACAGGAATATGTTTCAGCTATTAGAACAGAATGATAGAGTTTTTATAATACTAGTTTAAAAACGTACTTCAAAGATTGCAGTGTTTGAAGATGTAGATTCTCAGGAGGCAACAGTACTGTTGACTTCTCCCTCCACTGGACACCAACTAACTATTTAAGTTGATTTGCATACAAAGCAGAGCTTGCAACATGATAGCTATTCATAAAGGGTGTTTTTTTTACTTTTCATATAATACATAGTCACACAATGAGGCAGTTCATATGTTGTCTCAGTGAATCATTAATTTTTGACAGACACCTGTACAAAATACTTGGACTAAAGCCAGCTAAAATTTTCTGTTATCTTGCATGTTTTATGAATCTATTCACATCTAAATGTAGCACTTTTTTTTTCAATGAGACATTTGTTTTTATACTAAAATATCTGAATTACTTTGAAGAAAGCTGGAAATTATGTCCCTTAAAATAATTAAACAAATAAGGCACCAATGTTTTTGTAAGATATTTACATCTTTTAAGAACATTCGGTAGACTGATTCCCCACTGTTGGTTCAACCCCAAAACTTGTTTGTATTCAAAATTAATTATGACAATGCATATTTATATTGAAACAAACTATGATAAAGGGAATTATATTATATAACAAAGGGCAAGGTCACCAGAGTTCAACTATGTTTAGTTGAATAGTGTTACAGCAATCGTACAGACAACTAGCTGTAGTGTTAATTTATAGGGTGTTAATTTATGCTTAAACTTGAAATAGTAAAATTTGAGCTGCTGCCCTGCAAAATTGACAACTGGTAGACAGTTTTCAAGACGATGCTTTCTTCATAGTAAACAGATGTACCCATAAACCAATTTTGACAGGAAACAGAAGCATGGTTTAGAAGCTATTTTATTTAAATCACTTTTGACCAAAAAAGCACATTTTTGTGCATATTTCAAACTACAGTGTCCATAAAAATAAAATACTAACAAAACTTTAAAATTCATACAATAAGCTTTCCGAAAATATATAGTTTTGTGGACAAGGGAGGTCATCTTGGTTTCCTAATTAACTAATTAAAATACCTGTCAGGTAAACTGCATCTCTACCTTGAATAATCCAATTTTTAATATATTCAGATTTACAGTTTGTATTGAGGGAATATTCCGATCTATTTTTAATTAATTGAATGCATTTGAAAATAAACATATTCATCCTGGTATATAGTATTGCAGTTCAGTGTAATAATTGTCTATACCTCCATACGGTGTAATAAAATCCTCACAATCTGATTGGTCCATGCAATCAGATTGACTGTTGACATCATTGCAAAGTATAACGAAATATGCCAATATCGTATATTGTTTGTTGTTTTACACAACATTTTTTGAATTATTATAAACAATTACATTAATTCCGGTAGTTTCAGATGACGACTATAACACTTGCATGATATAAAACTGCATATATTTGAGACATGCTTACACAAATAACGAGAACGCGGCAATCTTCCATATATACTTTAGCTACAGTTCTGCAGAACTGCAGCTATATATACTTTACTTAAAATTACAACATATGGAATGAATTGCACAATATAGATTGATATACCCCAGGTATATATCACTGACCGTAGAAAAGGTTTATTACTATTATTATACCAACCGAGATACAGAAATAACTTCTGAAATGCTATATTTGCAACAACAAATGAATGGAGTTATTAATACTATTTATTATATAATATATATTTTACAGTCATACTAAATGTACAAGTACTTATATATACAGACATTTAATGGTAAATATATATCAGATGACAATTTATAATATACACGCATATCTACTAGACCAGTTTATGAAAAGACATTGAGGTTTACAGTACGGGTTAGTGGAAACTTTTGTAATTGCAGTATGTACTTACGTATCTCTTATAGGATTCTATTAAAAACTTGTACATCATCCAGGACAAAATAAAAGTCACATTAATCTCATGTTTAGTATTTAAAAAAAAAACAACATTTTCTTTATCAAAAAAAAATTAAAATAACATTGTGCGTGTGTGACAATTTGACACTGCCCGTAGGTGTGTACAATTTGAAACCAAGACAATAAAATAAAATAAGTTTATCCTTACTGGGTCTTTTGTAAATATATTGGAATGTTGATATTTTACAGTTAAATAATCTCCATTTTGATTAACATACCTGATAAGAAAAGAAATATTACCCATGTTTATATAAGAGCAAACCTTTTGTTTTTGTCACTTCTTTTTTGTAATTTTGAACCAAATGAACTTGATTGCATGTTTGTGGAAAAATTGGCTTTTATGCTTGTTTAAAGAGTTAAGGATGAAATCAAAAACATAAATGGCTTGTTATCCAACAGTTTCAGTAAAAGATTGCAGGAATCTTAGTTTTGGCCAGAATTAATAACACAATACATCAAATTCATCAAAATTCGTAGAGTTATCAAAATTATTACCAAGGATTTATAAGATTATGTCATGCAACTGGTACGATAAGCAATGAATTGAAACAGCATTGGGCACCCCACGAGAATGGAAGAAGTTTCATTGTGACAAACTTCTTGTTGAACAAAATCATATCTACATGAACCAAGTCAGCTGCTCACAAATAAAACAAATCAAATATTTCAGCAGAGAAGAAGACATTTATGAATGAACAGACAGTGTCTATAAGGGCATTAAATAGTATGATGATTAAAATATGGTTGAAATTAATTTACATTGTATTAAGTTATTTCAGTTTAAATTTTATAAATACTATAAATATACACAACACCCTATTACAGCTCAAATGTCTATTTTCTATGTTAGTTTTTGACACATTATATAAAAATATGAGATAATTGCACAAAACATAATATACTGTGAAATACTTTATTTTAGCTGGAATTAATTTTCACTGGGTGTTTTCTATGGGATTTATTGTCACTGAATTTTTGATGGGTATATTTGCTGAATCCTATTTTTACTGAATCACCCTTTTTAATAGCGAAAATAAATTCCAAGCTAGAATAAAGCATTTTACAATACATAGATCCCCCCTACAATATTAAATTTAAAGAACTACTGTAGCAGAATTCAACACTAAACAAAAAAACTACTGTCCAGTGGAGCACATCTAGAATTTTGGTGTACCCCGGACTCAAACATGGTCGTTGTCTTGAATCAGTTGAATATGCCAATTTTTAATCAAATTTAAAAACCACATGAGCCAAAATCGTGGATTGGGTTTGAATAATATAAACTAAACAAGCAGCCTATCGGCTG